TGCAAACCACACCAAGGTGCCCCGCCAACCACCCTTTCTAAACCGCCCTGCCTCAATTTCAATTGTTATAATTCTTCGTACGGTATTGGAACTCCAGCATTAACTGCTGTCTATTCTGAGAAGTAATAATAATATGCTTATTATTATCATGTTAGTATTTTAGTACCTATAAAAATATGGCAACTTGCACCTTGTGTTTCCCAGGATGTTGAGATTGTCTCAGAATGCTAGCAGGTCTGCTGGGGGTAATAATAGATATTGTAAAGAGCTTATACAATGTACTTATAGAGCGCTGCAGAGCGGGAATCTGCGTTTTACAATTAAAGCTATCTATGATCATCTATGTCCTCAGCATAGAGAAAATTTCTGTCATCGCCGATGAGATCAAACCACCGATCCGTATACAACATGACGGGTTGGTCGTGTGGTACATACCGAGCGTGCTCAAAGTGTACTGCGAGACTCGGATACTCAGCTTCCCCTTTGACTCTCAAACATGTGTCATCAAAATCTATGCCTGGGGATACACTGATAAAGTGAGTAGACACAGATCTATAAATATCAACGGATATTTCAGTGCGGTATTTTGTTTTGGTTGGGTAGCTGGGGTTTTTTTTTGCGATTTTGTTTTGCTTTGTTTTTATAATGTTGTAGCTGTAGCGCATTATTATCATTATTGTTATTACCGGTATTATAATTATTGTTTTTGTATTGTTAATGTTAAGTTTACAGCGTAGACCTATATTATAATACATGTACACGAGTTTTCCTACTCATAAAATGCCATTCTAATTCTAGTGTACGGTACTCAAATTGTCACACAGGAAATCTATATGTTTCCAAGACAAGATTACTCCAGTTCTGAAAGTGAGTCCGTCTTAAACCTGTACAGTCCCAATGGCGAGTGGATCTACGAGGGGTCAAGCATACAGGCGGAGAACGTTCCCTCTGGCCGCAACATGATACAGAGAGTGAGAACCAGGCAAGGACGGTCACAATAATTAATGTGTTACGACGTGGTGGAATCAGGCGCTCGTCAATTTGTGGCCATGTGGAGTTATTGGTATAACCTAAAAAGCTTACTCGTTTGCCTTGCTTTCAATGGGAAAAAAATACCCACCTATCTTGAATAGAAGTCGATATATTAGCGATTGAAGGAGGCGGTGTCGTCTAGTTTCAGTGATAAAATAAGCGAGAAAATGAACGCCAAATTTTGGTAACTTCGATAGCTTGAGAGTCCTTGAAAACTGAAATATTGCATACCTTATTTTGTGTCCTTAATCAACATTTTTCAGTCAAATCCACAAGGAAATGTGTTTTGGTGTAGACATAAAAGCGTTGAGTCAATATTTTTAAAAATATTTTATTTGTTTATTAATTTGTTTATTTTTTATTTTATTATTT